CATCATGTTCATTCTTATTAAACTAAATAAATTTGACATTTAGACTATTATTCAAAAATCCTAAATTGCACTATTAAGCACAATAATTACAAATTAGAGAGCCTAATTTTTTCAAAACGTGTGACAAAATTTATGTGTTTGATTATATATATATATATAAATTTATTAAATATTTATGTTTATTTTCGTCATATTTTTAAAAGTTTGCTATAAGTACACATTTTATAAATACGAATAAAAATAGGTGAACTAAAATTAGAATCAAACAATGTCCAATTTGAAAAACACAAAATTGCGAGTGAAATTTTTGTGGGAATGCGTAAAAATCAGTAAATACACAATGAAACTTTATTAAACCCATTATCAATAAATAACTAGAATTTATTTTTCTTTTGGGGAATAATTATTTTTTCGGATTAACCCCAGATTAATTGGGTAATAATTATCAATAAATGTAAAAGCTCCTTCTGGACCTAATGTATCTGATTTACTGGGTCCCACAGAGCAATTAAATAGCAGCTAAAGCGCCCATCACCGAACTTGCCTCCCGCAATCTAGTCAACAGTCACCTGATCCGACGGTTCAGATTCATGGCTCAAATCTCATGCGGTCGTTAATTTCGTCTTGCGTGCTCTCACCCAATCGGAAGTCGAAGCCGATAGGGAAAGCAACATCTCCGGGGGTATAACAGACATTTCGTGTTTCTACCACGCGTCGTTCTTTGATTGGCTGGACCGAACTTTCTCTCCATTGGCACGTATGACTGCCATCATATCTGAGGAGCCGAGAGTGGAGCCACCAAACGCCGACGTCTGAATTTTCACTTTAAAGCAAAGGAAAAGAGAGGGAGGGAGGAGGTTTTTCTCATCGAAGTCTCTGTCAACAGTTCTATTTCTCTCTCGTCTATAGATATTTTCTCTTTGTTCTTCTGTTTGTCTAGTTCTGTTCGACAATGGTGAGTTCATCTTATTTTTAAGACTAATATTTTTCAGTATGGATTTGAATCTGATATTAGCGTACAGTATAGATATACAAATCATCCGATCGTCGAGTTTGTATAGATCTGAATTAGCGTTTAATTTAGTGTAGATCTTTGAGTATTAAAGTTTTTAGGATCCAGAAGAACACGAAACTCTTCATGGCGTGAAATTGAAAGAGAAAAGAAAAAGGAGGAAATATGAGGATAAAGAATTATTTGAATTTTCTTTGACCGATTTTCAGTTAATGTTATATTTTTTTTCTTGGATGATGGAGGGTGGCGTTTAGTTGCTCGTTGAAAAACCAGAACTGAAGTTACGCTGTTTACTTGCTGAAGTTCCGACTTAGGAAGTTCGCCTTGACATGCATGGTTGTTTCAGCAAATATTTTTGTCAAATCAGGGGTTGAATGTGTTTGATCGCTCTTATATTTAGATCGATATTTGTTTAGTTTGACATTTCTGATGATTGCGTTTAGTTGCGGAAAGGTTTTTGTTCTTCTAAGATGCATAGCTTGGGTGTTTTGATTACGTGGAAGTCTCGGTGGTAAAGTTATTAGCTTGTAATGTAGCATTTGGCCTTTTCTCACGACGGATGGCTTAATTGGGTGAATTTAGCGAATGATTCCCACCGTCTGGAACTTCTTTGGGAAAACTATGAGAGAAGTGAAATCCATGGTGAATGATAATTTTCTTGATCGGCTGGCTCATTGCTAAAACCTGAGAGAAATTGGTGTGTGAAATTACATGAGAGTTGTCTGATTGTTTGTTTCTATTTGATCATTATGAAGCCAAATGACATTATTGGTTGATTGATTGTTATACCTGAGAGAAATGGTTGTTTGAAGTTATCTGAGAGTTGTTTTTGATCATTATGGAGTAAAAGAACTTATTGGATAAATTATGGCAGATAAAAGATTATGTGCTAATATTATGATGACATAGCATTGTCCTTTGATATGTAAGCAGAATGGTATAGTTAATTTTTTTGGGGCTTGCTGATGTCAATGGCAGAATATGAATCATAGCAATCTCTGTGTTTGTTTTCTAACATGTTTTATTGCGAGAATTACAGTTTTATTGGCAAATTGACTAGGATAGCGTGTTTTATCAAATGAACGACCCAGTTCAGTGTGGTTATGCATCTAGGCAGATCTCTCTCTCTCTCTCTCTTTCTCTCTCTCTTGTGCTCACAAATGCACACGTAGTCTATGCTTGTGTCATTTCCTGTTCAATTTCTAGTTTTAATTCTCATATTAGGTTGTGTTTGAAAAAATTCTGAAATCTTGTGGAATTCATTTACAACTCTGAACTTACATCAACTAGGAGGAAATGAATTCTACTAGTATGACAAAGAAAAATTATTTAGAATTTCATATGAAATTAGAAGAAGATGTTTCAAGTTCTATCAATTAAAATAAGTGTGGATTTACTAATAAATTCTACAAAAAATTGATATATTTTCCAAATATAGCCTTAGTTTTATTATGCATAGGGAGTTACCACCAACCCTATCTTGAATTTCTTGATGGAGAGAATCTGATTTCTAGCTTTTAAGATGGGGGGCGAATTTCAACAATATTATATGTCCTAAGTATTTTGAGACTAATATGAGTAGACCTGTGAATTGAATAAGAAATGAACAAAACATAATATTTTGGTTTCGCAAATGGTTTAACTTAAATTGTTGCAATGTATGTGCCCGATTGGCTGATCCATGTAACGTACTGTTGTAGTCTTGTTGAAATTTTTGGGATGATGGTATATAGTTTGCCCTTGCTGCTTGGATTTTGATTAATTTAATCATATTTCAATACCATATGTCAAGTTATTAATCTTCTTTGCAGGCTAACGCGGCATCTGGAATGGCTGTACATGATGATTGCAAACTAAGGTTTTTAGAGTTGAAGGCAAAAAGAACCTATCGCTTCATAGTATTCAAGATCGAGGAGAAGCAAAAGCAGGTTGTTGTGGAAAAAGTTGGGGAACCAACTCAAAGCTATGATGACTTCGCTGCAAGTCTTCCTGCTGATGAGTGCCGCTATGCTGTTTATGACTTTGACTTTGTGACCGAAGAGAATTGCCAAAAAAGCAGGATCATCTTCATTGCATGGTAATCTCATATACTAACTGCTATTAGTTAATTGTTTATTCACTTCTATGACCCAACCGGTTAGTGGTTTCACTGTTCATTTCCTGTTTGTGAAGGTCTCCTGATTCATCAAGGGTCAGAAGCAAGATGATCTACGCAAGCTCCAAGGACAGGTTCAAGAGGGAATTAGATGGTATTCAAGTAGAGCTGCAGGCCACTGATCCAACCGAGATGGGTCTAGATGTTATCAGAAGCCGTGCCAGTTAAATACAAGTCTCCTAGCCTCTGCATGGAGGCTTTCCTTATGCTTATGCTTGTATGAGGAGTGAAAGGTCAATAGTTTGTGGTGGCTATATGAGCCTGACTGGATTTATGTCATTGGTTTTGTTGTTCAAGTTCTCTACCTGTTTTCATCTAGAACAGATACGGTTGGTTTTGACTTATGACCTAGTCCTTGGTTATGTGTGGAAGTGATGAACTGGATGTCTCTTTTATAAGTTATATGCGCATTAAGGGAGGGTTTACCTACTCAAGAGAATAATGCTTGATAATATTAAGCATTGCATGAGAAGATAAACTGCCTTTAGCCTATTACATGTACTTTGATGCTTTATTGTATTCTTTTTCTTAAAAGAAATAACATTAGTGTTTCTATAAATTTAAATAGCATTCTTTTTAGTTCTTTTAACTTTCTACTCAATATATGCTTTTAGTTCATTTTTTTATTTTAAGTAGTTTAGAGGTATATAAATTGACACTTGACGTATTTATACATAATTTAATGTCTATAAGAAGTTGCACTGAAACTGACAAATATTTTTAGTGCAGATAAAGATGATTATTTCTTAAACAATAGAAAATTTAGTTGTAATTATGTTACAAAATCAAAGATTGTCTTGCAATTTGTTCCATTTCCAACAAATTTTACCTTTGATTTAACTACAACAAGCCTTTTGTGTTCTTTCCTCTAGACCGCGGAATACTGTTGCTTATAGGCCAGTAACTTGTAATTTGCATCTATAGTTACCATCTCAACTTCTTGATTTGCCGTACACCGTGTATCTAACTGCAAGGTTTTCGACTTTCTGTGCTTCAAGATTACGATGGGGGTTTATATAAACCAGTCAATCAGGTACTCATCATCAACACCATCAATATATAAACAAGGTCACCAGTCAAAAAAAGATATTATAAATTATCAGTTTTGTTACAACAAATCTACAGCTTAATATCCTTGAATGGGGTAAAGAGTAGCTCTAGATCTTGATGGCTAATTACAATGATCTAAAAGAACAAGGTAGTTGGTAAGGGTTTCTCTAGGGTCAGTCATCCTAATCATATGATACAACTCACTGAAATCTGCTAAATTTACAAGGTAGACTCATCTACACGAAAAAAAAAAGGAAATGGTGAGCTAAGATTTATCTTTCGCCCAAGGTAGCATTGAATAGTTGAAGTTCAATGAGAGTTCCATGGGAACTTGTCACCAAAACCTCTCCAAAAAATATAAACTTAATGAATGAAAGTTGTCTGGCCTCCAAATGACCAACAATTTCGGTTCGGTTTGGGCCAATGAGTAACATTCTCGAGGACAATTATCTAGCATCCCTAAAAATGACGAGGTCTTTTCAATGAAGACCATGAGTAAGAGCATCATCTCTAATCACATTTGACTTCTCAAACCTTCTTATCATGTCATCCCGTAATTCAAAAGCCTTAGCGAGTTCTCCTGTAACACAGCAACCATATATCAAAAACGTATATGCTAATCTATCAGGTCTTAGACCTTTATCTAGCATAGAGTCCCATAATTCAACCGCTTTTTCTAAATCCCTTCTTCTACAATATTCAAAGATTATTGTAGAATAAGTAATACAATCTGGAAATATACCATTTTCAGTCATTCCAGCTAAGAGATCAGCAGCCTCCTGAAGCTTACCCAGTTTGCAAAACCCCCGGATAAGCATATTATATGTAACGGTGTTTGCTAAAAATCCATCAAGCATGGCATTATGAAGCTGTACAGCTTTCTCCATGTTTCCTTCCCGAGTAAGATGGTCAATAAAGCAACCCGTAAGTTACCTGATTTAGGAAGGGTGAATTACTAACCAGCATTTTCTTTGCAAAAGAAGCCTCCCGCTTGATCCGGTGATCCTGCTTTACAATAAACCCATTTATT